GAATTTCAGTCTCCATAATGTTTTTGTCACAAATTAATATACTATACAATGTACAGAAACAGAAACAGCATGTTATCACCGCATGTGTAGAGATTTAAAGATAGATGGCGCTGTTAAAATCAATTCCAAAAATAAAAGAGATTAATTGACGCGATTGATACAATAAAAAAACATAAAAGAACTAAATCAGGCCTGCATCGTAAGCAAACAAGAAAGTTTGTTCCTCGCCGAAACCAACTAAATTGTTAATAGGTCTTGTAAAATTTGATTTACCACGTAGTGTACATATAAAGATTAACAGCAAATATGAAAACTCATCTACAGGAAAAAAACCACAACCTGCCTTTTTGTATTACATTTGTGCAACACTACCATCTATCGATGAAATGGGTTAACTGTTGTACTTTAGATTTAGATAATAAGGTTAATATATTTTTTTATATATATTTATTACGTTCTTTATGTAATACTTTTGTTTATTGCGTTATAGATATAATTATATCATTATAGAACATTATTTTACATCATTTAATTATGATTTATAATATGATATTAGTTTAAAATGTACTTGATGACTCAACGAACGCCACCATTGAACAAATTCGTACCTATACTTCGTAGCCATACTTCAGAATATACAGGGTATTTCTGGAACGCTCCCGAAAACTAAGACAGGCGACAGCACCAAGTATACCTTTGATCATGGGTCATAAATAAATTTGATCCTGATGAAAAAAAAAAACATATTTTTACAACGTTTTATTAGCTTTATTCACGCGCCATCATGTTAGTACAGCTAAATGAAACGATAATTTCATAAAAAAATCATGAAAATACTGAAACATAAAACCAGCAGTGGAAACTGAATTGATATCACCTGACTAATGGAGGTTAATGTACGCGCGAACGGTGAAAAAAGAACGCTGGCCTTGAACTTGGGCACTGAGCGATTTATCACATATTGGCCAGTATTACTGTGCCTGCATGCTATTGGTTCCCGCGCTTTGTTCGCTCCAAAAATACAGTCGCATACACAGCTTACTTTGCGACTCGCGACGATGTTTTAAAAAGGAAGGAAAAAAAATTATTTATATCTATTGTTTTATGACTAAACTAGTGAACGAAAAGGTAAATATGATAGGAGAAGGTGAATGGGGAAAATTGTGCAGTAAAGTTAAAATTGTTGAGGAAGAATACTGAAAAAATTACCATGTGATCGACCTGATGACGGAAGCTCAAGCGAAGATGAAAGTGATGATGAAGTAGCATCCAGTAACACCAACACACCATCAACATCTGGCTTCCATGTGACCCAAGACGTCATAATGGACGGCGTGTCACCCTTAGCTTAAGTTTTTTTGTTACAAACTACTTTATATTTTACGATAGAAATAACAAACAATGCTCAAGTAAACATTATCTATTTTTAATTCCCACCTCTTCCAAAGTTCTAAGTAGCTAGTAAAACACCTATTATGATTCTACAATAAAACAATTAATTACTATAATATTATAAAACAATAGCCCAATACCATGTAGTACTTTAGAACGCGACTGTACCCACACTCACTCCGCTGTCGACCTGTATCTAGCTCGGTATGAAACAATGCTGCGGTCATAAGAAAAAAAGGCGCATCTAACAATTTTCGAATAAATTACCATTCGACTCATGATAAGAAGACGCATCTACTAAATTTTTTTAATATTCACTAATATCAATATTTTAGAAATTATCGTCAGAATTTTAGACGTAGCTGTTGATCACAGATGACATTTTATTAGTAGAAAAGACTTATACAAATTCAACATAAAAGAAAAGACTTATTTAACCAGTTGCTACGTCATCTTTAACAATATTTGCATCGATTACTTAAATTAAAATTATTCTTGTCTTATTATTTTATATCTTATTATTAAGAGCTGGTGTTTCACATGTGGTCCCATATAAATTTGATCGAGGTCAGACCAATAGTTTTTGAGTTATCCTTAATTATTTATATTAAAGTCGGTTGTACAAATGTTTTGATTTTTAATTATTATCGTAGTAAGTCTTGTATGATATCCCCTTTAAAATCATTACTCAAGAGTTGCGGGTTGTTATTTTTTGTGTCTCACTACCAATGCTTTTCTAATATTTACTAAGAAAAAAGTAGTAAATTACTATTAGCGTCCTTTCAACTTCAAAGGATCTTTCCAAAATATGTAAAAATGTTAAATTAATGGTAGTTTTGTTTTATTTATTAGGTTGGGAAGACCCAAATAGTTATATGCGTCTTTCCTTCGATGTTTCCGTATATACACTCTTATCTATGCTTCGATGTTTTTGTGTTGCCAGGTGTACTTTTTTAATCTAAGATGAAAAGGAAAATTCGTTTTATTTAAATAAATAAACAAATTAAAAAAAAATAAGTTCGTCCTTAAAATCTTCATGTCTCTACGTATATATTTCAATATAGATACCTTTTAATATACTTTAGACACGGGGTCTGAAAGAAAAATTCATCAATTTATTTTTTATTTCCATTTTACGTTTTTGTTAGTTACTTCCTTTTTTATTATGACGGCAGAATGCCTAACCCTGTCGCCTCACGCTTGTGACGCAGTAGGTTTCAGCCTTGACGGGGTTCGTTCGTTTTAGTTTTTGAGACAGTTCCGTGTTGATTTTGTACACGCGTGCGCGAGCGACAGTTCAATCGTTTTGTTTAATAAATTTACTTGTGATTACGTGTTGATATTAAAGTTTTTGTTACGTTTTTGGATTCTTTTTTGTTTTAATAATGCCTAACGCGTACGTTTATAGTGGTCAACATGTTAGGTATCCGAACCTAGGTACACGAAGTATCGCTAAATAAATTGTTAAGACGTCGGGATGGTACAAGTGTGTCATACTGTGCAGTGCACAAAGTGTTGAAGCGTAACCAATGCGCCCATACAAATTGCACAAAGTGCAAGCTTTAGTTCCCGGCGATCACGACCGCCGACGAGTTTTCTGCCGTTGGTTATTATACCAGCAACAACGTGTGCCTGGTTCCATTGAGCACATTATCTGGACGGATGAGTCGACATTTACCAGAAACGGCCTGTGGAACCGAAGAAATACACACGTGTATTCAGAGGTTAACCCGCACGCTGTTCGACAAACCGGGCACCAAACCCGATGGTCGCATAACGTATGGGCAGGTTTATTTAAGGATCGCATACTGGGACCAGTGTTTCTGCCAGAGCGACTGAACGGACAGCGATACCTAAACTTTATAAATGAACAGTTGGTTGACATTTTAAACGACCTATCGTTGGCTGAATATCGCCGCACATAGTTCCAACATGATGGTGCCCCTCCACATTTCGTGAGGTTCATCCGTGAGCGCCTCAATGAGCTATTTGATGATCGCTGGATCGGCAGACTAGGACCACACGCTTGCCCACCTCGCTCACCAGATCTGACTCCGTTAGACTTCTTTTTGTGGGGTATGTGAAAGAAAGGGTTTTTAATCGTGAATGTGATAGTGCTGAAGAAATGCGCCAAAGGATCGTGGATGCTTTCGAGAAACTACGTACGGACTGTGTCGAAGACAACACGATGATGCCCCGCCTGCACCCAAATCTGCCTTGAAATGAATGGAGCACAATTTGAGCCGCATCTCATAAGACCACGGAGGATTTAGAGCAGTAAGCTGTTTCATAACTATTTTTTTTTTAAATAACTTAGTACTAGACTAATCTGAATAGGTACATAACTGAATACATGAGAATAATAAACATACCTACACGATGAATAAAAACGCATGACTCCAACCTTGGTTACATTTCATTTAAGTATTTCTTCATTAGCGGGGAATCGAACCAGTTATTTGGGTTATTTAACCTGTAAATTCGGATTAAAGTGGCTACGTGGAGATAAGCACAGTGGCAAAATAGTAGGTTAAGTAGATAAGTTAGGTATTTAGACACGTGTTGTAAATTATTATATTGTGGGATGGCCCGCTAGTTGCGGGCCGCGCGAAATTGTGTTCGCGCGTACATTGACCTTTATCTAGCTCAGGTCAGGTGATATCAATTCAGTCATTCCACTGCTGGTTTTATGTTTCAGTATTTTCATGATATTTTTTATGAAATTATCGTTTCATTTAGCTGTACTAACATGATGGCGCGTGAATAAAGCTAATAAAACCTTGTAAAAAGATGATTTTTTTTTCATCAGGATCGAATTTATTTGTGACCCATGATCAAAGGTATACTTGGTGTTGTCGCCTGTCTTAGTTTTCGGGAGCGTTCCAAAAACACCCTGTATATCATAACTTTTGATGGAATGAACTAATTTTAATGAAATAAAAAATAAGTGTAACCTGAAGATATACTTTATAATTTCTTTAATGATTCTTATGATATAAATTAAATGTGTTTACCAGCAATGGAATAAGCTGTCCTGCCGTAAAACCCGTGCGTTACATGCTCTCGTAATATTTTATTTCTCAACCATTTTGGTTCATGATATTTTTCTAAAGCGCCAATTACGAAAATTATTAGCATTTAAACTTATGCTTTTTATAAACCTGACTGTAATAAAATATTTCACTTGAAAAAAAACCTTGTAGGTTGTTGATATATTATTGGGTATACTGATAATATAATAAGAAAATCCACTTATCCATAGCATCCCGTGAGTATCAAAAGAGGCGACAGAGAAATGAAATATGAGATAGGAAACAGCATCATCCTGATAACAACTCAAAATAATAAAAAAAATGTGGATGTCAACACGCGTGTCAAGCTTGGCAACTATGGTAATAATCTCCTTTATAAGACAATCTATGGGGGAGGGCTATGTTTAGCAGTAGAATTTTGACGGGATATACCTAATGGTTAAAAAATATAAAACTGGTTGTATATCCTCTATTTACCTAAATTTTGACTTATATTCAGATCTCATTCCGTATCGATGCCGTAATTTTACAACAAACACTCAACATAATGAATGAGCGTAACATTCGAAATTACAGGACAGTATATTAGAGACACCAGTGGTACTAGTGGGCAATAAAAACGACCAGATTGGCGACCGTATGGTCAGTACAGAAGAGGGGCAGAGGCGAAGTAAGGAAATAGGCTGCGTGTGTTTCCACGAGATCTCCGTCAGAGAGAGCATTGACCAGGTGAGTAAATATAGATCAAAACACTTCAAATATTTATGATTTGGCATCATCGTGTTTAGTTTGCATATAAATCGGTCAAAGTCAAGCGTGTATTTACAGTTTCACCACTGCAATTTAGTGATTAAATTCAATTCGGCTAAACGGTATACATTATAAATAATAATTAATATCTAGACTAGACACACTACCACTCTTATTTTAGTGTGTCAGTTGAATCGCCATGATTGGTTTAAATAACAGAGTTTTGGATTCAACTCACAATTAGTTATGATTAATTATGTAGAAAAGCTATAATTATGCCATCTTTTCTACAAGTGCTAAATTAACTAAAAAAAATAAATAAAAAGAAGAAAATAATTTCCACATTATAGCTTTTGAAATCGGTACCGAGACCGATGATAAGTTTTTCATCAGACATGTATAGAAGAATAAAATTGACTTTGAATTTTGAGTCTTCACTTTTTATTACGTTTAATTTTTTTTGAGTGGACTAAAGAATATCACAATTTCAAGGTTAATATTAATACTATTTATAAATGTGTGTACTATGGCAACTAGAATGTCGTCTAAAATCTTGATCCTCTATTTAGCCATTTTTATGGTGTAATTTATTCTTCAAATTCATATGGGTCCATCCCTGAAGTAAAATCTATTTTATAAAATAATTTACTTCAGGAATTGAAACTGTATTTGAATTTAAATCGGTTTAACCGTTTTCGGGAAATGCTTGAACATATGTAAAAATACCAGTGGTCCAATTGTGAATCTATACCATCTAGGTCTATGGACCCATTCAAACACAAAAATTTTATTCAAAATCAGTTTAGCCATTTTTGAGTTTTATCGAGACTAATAGATATAAATCGATTTTTATTCATAGAGATTTTTTATTTTTAACGCCACCGCACTGCCCTTTGTGGGTGGAATTTCATAAAATCCGTTCTTGGTAATTTTTAACATTCCAAAAGGAATATTATAGCCAAGGGTTAATTTAATTAACGCCCCCGCAACCCCTTGTGGCCGGGTTTTTGTAAAATCCGTTCTTAGCTGATTTCTACTCGACAAAAGGTAAATTTCCACCAAATTTCATGTCTCTAGGCCTTATGGTTCCAGAGATATCGTGATGAGTCAGTACATTGATGGAAATCTCATACATATATAGATACGCGTCGAATATGGAACTGATGATAATGAGCAGTATTGCTAGTACGTGGAACCCGGCATTAGGTCTACAAACCGCTTACCCAGAATCGTGAGTATGGGCAGTATTTTTTAAAAGTGTACGCATTTAAATGTATTCTTTAAAATATCTACGTCCAGCAGTAGACTTCAAAAAGGTTGATAATGAAAACCTCTTATGTCGATATCGCACGGCAAAGCATTTTTGTAACATTAAATATGTGTACTCTTTACATTTATATATCTTTTAACCGACTTCAAAAAGGACGTACTCAATTCAACTGTATGTTTTTTTTTTATGTGCCTTACCTCAGAACTATTTTTTCTAGGTGAACGGATTTCGATGATTCTTTTTTTATTTGAAAACTGTAGCTTTTCTTGTGGTCCAATCTAAATTTGATCAAGGTCTAAGGTTTATATTGAACTCCGTTGTACATTTTTTTTTTAATTTTACCGCTTGTTTATACAGAATATCACAAAAATTGCTGTAAGGTAGCTCGGAAGTGTTTTTCTATCGTAATTTTTTTTACTGAAAAGTTTAGGAGTGTTTAATCTTTCTTTATATCATTATTTGTAAGGGAAAACAAACAGTTGATTGCGTAAGGAAAATACGAGAGACCTTTTCCTTTAAGAGTATTTTTCTTTTAATACTGTTTTCCAAGAATTTCTTACCCTCGGCAGGCGATTGCCCCGTAGGAACCCGCAGTCTCTTTACACAATATTTCACTTATATATTTTCTTTACACTGAAATGGCTGCAAATGGAGATTTCGACGTGTTTACATTGTTGTTGTTTTGAAACATTTCGTACATTATTCACTTCATTGTGTATTTGTTTTCTTACAACAATGTATATTTAAACTTAGTCCAAAATTAAATATTTAGTTTTGTATTAGAATTGATATTTTGGAGTTATAAGTATATACCATTTTCTTACTCACTGTACCTACAGCTTTAGGAATAAATGAAATTAAGCCGCCGCATAAGTGTAAATAAGTGTTATATCTAATTTACGATTGTGAGGAAAGATATATTTAGAAAATCAGTTACAAGTAGTAAAAATAATAATTTTGACAACCAACTTCAGTATAAATGATTAAGGATAACTCTAAAACTATGGTCATACCTTAAACAAATTTATATGGGACAATATGAGAAGCACCAGCTTTTAAATAAAATAATCATCATCAAAGTCGGTTCACCTAGACAAAAGTTATGAGGTGACACATAAAAAAACATACAGTCGGATTGAGTTCCTCCTCCTTTTTGAAGTCGATTAAAAATATGAAAAAAAAATCATCAACCGTGAAATTTGTTGTACTTATTTATCAAAATCAACATTCAAAATTTTAAATTCATAATTTGGAATGTAAAAGACGAGCGAACACCGAAGTAATTCTAAAATATACGTTTCTCGTTTTTCTTTAAAATTATAAAATTTTTGAACTAGCAGCACGAAATTATATTTTTTTCGGCGATGAATTGATCTATGTCCCCGATTTCATATTCAAGCTCCATTCTTGGATTCTCTCTTTATTAGCGATATGAGAAAATCAATGTGTCATACTGTTCGTTAGAATAATAATTAATGTGAATATCGCGTTTCATATTTACGAAAAGACAACGTAGAAATACACCATAACTAAATAATAAAAAGCCTATTTATAGTAAGGGAAGCGTGATTGAAATTTGCAGATATATTTTGCAAGGCAGTTAAAACTATTAAAAAAATAGCTTTAATGTCGTCGGTAATGTAAAGCCGCGCACTACAACATAAATCGCTATTGGAGACATTTCTAGTAAAAGTAGCTTTAGTATGCCTATATTATTTATTATAAAGACTTTTATTGTAAAGGCTTTTTTTATAGAGTGTGGGTGACTAACTTTAACTACTTTTATGGCTCTACCGCGTATAAATTCAAAACTCTGACGATCGTGTGAATTTATCAGTGTATCTACTAAAAACGAGTTCGTGAGTACCACGTTGAAAGTTATTTAGTTCGAATAAGACAAATACATTAACGACCTTGGGTACATATTATATATATATATAAAACATCCTTTCCAATCCGAAAAGGCACATAGATAGAGATTGCCTTATTTAAAACTGAACGCACCTCCCTCGTATTTTTGGTAAATTTTGTAAATTTCGTAATAAGTATACTAAAATCTAAATCTGCACACCCTTTCCATTGTGTTCTAGTAGATTTTAGCATTTTTACTATATCTGACATGATAATAGTGATAAAACCTACCAACAAATAATGCGCGTGCACATTTAAATTAGACAATATCTACCGTAATGTTATTTAAAGTTACAGCCTATAAACATACGTCCCACTGCTGAGTACAGACCTCCTCTCATTTCTGAGAGAGTTTCAGGGCAAGGAAATCTCCGCCACGCTACCCCAGTGCGTGTTGGCGAACCTCACGTGTCTTCGAAATATTTCTTTCTTTTTCTCAGACTTAGCTTACGTCCACCACGTGGTAAGTCAGCACTTAAAATTGCAATTAACTATTTCATTGGTGCCGGCGGTAAGTGAAGCATATCTATCTTCATAAAATAAAATATTACGTACTTAACTACGCCTACATAATAAACAAGATATGAGATACTTTAGGATAATGGGAAATAGAATGAAGGGATATTAATACATATTTAGATATACATAATTTGGGGATAAAAACGTATAAAGGGCATTTAGAATTCCAACTGTTATACAAGAAACTTCATATGTAAAAATAATTGCTAAATTATAATAAATTTTAAATTAGCATTATTTTTTAATTTCAAAATTATAATAAATTATAATTTAGCAATTTAAAATTATATATGTTATCTATATAATTATAACACCCCAGACAGGTGGATAATTTGGAATTCGTATATTATTTTTCTTCCGATTTCCCGCCTCGGCTGTGTACTCGTATAGTCATTAGAAACATGATAAAACAGATTCAAGATACTTAGTAGACATTAGAATACCTATAAAAGTTATACATACTTCTTGTTTGAAAGTCAAACCTGAAAGAAAAGGAGTGCCTCACAGGACTACAAATTTATTGGAATCTTGATAAAATAATTTCAAATTAAGTTAAAGACAAACATCCAAATTTAATAAAGTTTTTGGCGTGCTTGCAAAAAAAATCCGGAATGACCGTTATGTAATAACAAAATAAATATTTTTATAAGATTACTTTTTTCAGTTTTTCTTTCAAATCTCTTACAGATTAAAGGGTTTATGGTATTATTTTTATAATTTCTTTATTAAAATACGTCACTTACAAAATATCAGTGTATACAGAAATTTTATCGAGATTGCCTGGATTAATTTTAATTAATATTAAGCTCACGCGAAATTGCCAAACATAAATTACGTTGTTTAAACTACAGTCTTTAACCTCGACCTCAAATCTAATAGTTTCAATTATATAGCTACAAACCTTCCGTTACAAAGATAAAGCTACAAAATGCACATTCAACAGAATAACTAGAATTTTTATAATAATAAACGTTGTAATTAAGTCTCTTTAAATTATTACGCATTGTAGTAACATATTTGATTCCGTTAAAAATCGAAAACTCATCAAAAAATATTTCCGATTGTTGATAAGTTTGTTCTTCTCCTGCTTATTCTTCAACAAGCCGTAAATATCCACTGCTCGGGGGTCCTTTCTCATTGTAGAGATTTTTCCCATAACCGTCGCTTTGATACTACTTCCAGTGGCGTAGCATAATATGTTTCTGTCGAACGAGACCGCTAAAACCTACAATGCCTAAAAAATCTACACCCCCGCCCCCCCTTTTACAGGTATCTTAAA